GTCCCATGTGCCCAGTGGGGCAGCCCGTGGCCAGGCTCAGCTCCTCATCTCCGGGCAGAGCCACTTCCTGGTGGGGGGGAGCCTGGGGAGCCCCTGGACTTGCTCACAGTATGGATGCTGGGGGACAGAAAGGGGACAGCGTGTTGTCCCCAGCAGAGCCCTCAGGTGCACCAAAGCCAGGACAGCAAAACCCCAGCCCTGGTCACCCCTCTCCTGTTGTTAAGCTGCAAGTGCTGAACGTGCTCCTTCTCCTGCCCCGGGGGCCCTGGAATCGGGCCTTCTTCAGTTTCCTCCTTAAGAAAACGCCCATGTTCTTTATTATTTTTTTTTTTCTTTTTCCTTCTTTATAACAAACTAAAGTGTAACTTGCACCTGACCTGACCTACTGCACGTGCCTATACCTGCTGCCCCTGTGAGTCCAACCACAGTTTACTCTCTGTTGCATCTCTCTCGCTGTGTGGTTTCCCTCCCGCCCTGCTCCCTCACCTGGTCCATCACCCTGGCGCTGGCTGTTGCTCTGCCCGCCCTGTCCCTTGGTCCTGGCCGGAGGTGCTGCTCCTGCCTCCCAGGTCTGTTCCCACAATTCGGCTCTGCCAGGAGGGACCTGGCCCCAGGGCATCCCTGGAAGGCTGAAAGGTGCAATTTCCCTTTCCCTCTGCAAATTAAAGCCCTGGAAAAGTTAGCTGGGTCAAAATCATGTTTTGTGCACAACTGATGCCCGCTTCTAGGAAGGAAAAAGCCTCTTTCCTCACCTGCCTGCAAACCCTGGAGCAGACAGGGGCCAGGCTGTGCTGCCAGCGCCAAGATCCTGGCCCTTGCCTCTGTTGCCCTGTGACAAATGCCAGGGGGTGCATTTGTGCATCCGCTACTCATTTGCATGTCACTGGCACCCTGCTGTGGGTGCCACTTCCCCAGTTACAAGTTTACCCTCTTGAAGTGGCTTTGTGTGATGTCCTACTGGGACAATGACCTGTCTCCATCGAAATGAGCTGTTCTCCATCACCCCAGAGTGATGGAGCTGCCTGCAGACCCACATCCCCCTCTGGGCACTGGAACCAGCTACTGTGTAGCACAATTTCCCCAGCACCCAGGGCTCAGCTCAGCCCCACAAGGCTGAGAAAGCTGCTGGAGAAGCCCCATCTGCTATCCCCCTACAGAAACACCCCCAGAACCAGGGCTCAAGGTACGCAAGGCATTGTGACCTGCTGCGTGCAGATGTCCGAGGCGCTTGGAGCAAACGCCGTTGACAGCAGATCCCCAAGGGAACTTTGCACCTTTCATCCCATCGGTGCCCTGTGCCGCTGTCTGCCTCCCTTCGGGGGCCGGCACCCGGCATGGCCTTCATCCCCTCCCCGCCTGCAGCGTTAGTCCTGCGCTGAGTTCGCTGGCTTGAGGCACCGCGGGCAGGGAGGGAGCGGGTCTGCAGCCGTGGGGCAGCGCCAGCAGGGAGAGATGGGGCTGAGCAAAGCCATTGGGGGTCCGGATGGGGGGGAATAAGGGGTGGCGGAGGGTGTCTGTGCAGCGAGGGGACTTGCTGTTTATTCAGGGCCACTTGGAAGCGACGGCTACGGGCCAGGCTGATGTGGGGAGCCCCTCATCCTGCCCTGTAGCCTGGCCAAGGCAAAGCCCTGAGCCCCGCTCCCCTCCTGGCTGTCTCAAAGCAGGGCCCCGGGCTGGGATCCCAGTGCCGTGCTGGGGCGGGGGTGCATGCTGCAGTCCGGGCTGCATGGCTGGGTTCGGTGCATGCTTCTCGTTCAGCTGTCGGGTGCCAACAGGATCAAACCCGGCGCCGAGCTCTGGGGAGGATGCAATGCCCTGGCTCAGCCACAGGCTGTTTCTTGGGCTCCATCCTGCCCTGCCTCGCTGCAGAGCACCTCAGGGAGGGTTCCCCAGGGAGCAGGTATTTGGCTTCTGGACTAAAGGGCAGAGTCCAGCCCTGCCATCTCCAGGTATTCTGGGCTGCTGGGTGTCTCCAGTGCATGTTCTGACGGTGGGGGTGCAGAGGTGCTGGGTGTGGGTAGCCCCTTTGTCATCCCCGTCCTTCCCAAGGAGGAAAACTCCAGTGCCGGGTTTGTCCTGGGATGAAGTAGAAAGGCTGAGCAGAGCCTGGGCTGGGCTTTGCCTTCCTGCTCCTCCTGCGTCGCGCTGCATGTGCTGCCTCTGGCCCCGCTCGCCCTGTGCCGGGAGCCCAACTCTGCTGCCCGCCGGGTCCGGGGGCCGCCACTCTGTTAACTCTTCTTCTGCTTGGTGACTCCTTCTTTCTTCCAGGCAACCCGCCGGGCCAAACTAAAAAAGCGCTGAAGCAGCGATTCCTCAAACTGCTGCCCTGCTGCCGGCCCAAATCCATCCCCTCGCTCAGCGAAAGCAAGTGCTTCTTCTTGCCTTTGTGTGTGTGTGTCCCTGGCGGTGCTGCTGCCTGCCCTCCGTCCTGGCCCTGCCCGTGGGAACGGGACGCCTCTGCCACCCCCCTGCCCTGGAGCTGGGGCTCTCAGGATCAGCCCTGCCCTGGAAGGGTCCGATCCGATGGGCTCTACACCCACCGCTGTCCTTGCCTGCTTCCAGGCTGGTTTTCCCCCTCTCCAGCTCCCTGGAGCGGCTGCCACAGGATGCACAGTGGCGAGACCTGCTTTGGAGCTGGCTGGGGGCAGCAGGACCCTTCTGGCGCTGGTTTAAGGGCTGGGGGGGCTGTTGCTCAAAGCTTGTTGTCGGTTAAGAGATGGAAGCGTGATGGGGGGGTGAAAGGGGCTGAGCAGGGAGTGAATACAGAGCTGCCCAGAGCCCCCTACCCTCCCTACACCGGGTAGTCTTGGTCCCTTGGTGAGTCTGAGCCTCCCCCCCAGGAGAAGAGGTGAGTATGGAGGGGTAGGGACTGAGCCGTCCCACGGAAGGGGGGTACACACTACGGGGTTTCAGCCCCTCTCGGTTGCAGTGGGGTTTGGGGGTGCTGGCTGCTGCGGGCGGGGGGGGTGCAACTTGCCAAATG